GTTTTTCTGGTGTTACAATTTGATATACTCATCACGAATTATTAGTACTGATAATTAATTACTAATATTACCAATATATATCTATTGAAAAAAATGGAATTTTCAATTCGAATTATAATACATATAACACTTCTTAACAATATTTTGACTGCTGTCAATAAATAAACAATATGAACTCCCTGTCAAATTCATTGTCGTAGCCTACTTAGTTTCGAAAAAACAATTTTTAATCATATGAAATAACAATGGTTTAAATAGGTATCAACATTAAGAGTTTTCTGCTATACTAATTTTGATATACTAATTTTATAGTTTACTATAAAATTTTGAAAGTACCTACTGACTTATTTTTGAATTTATTTTATAATACAGGGTGTGTCAATACTATACTTACTTATGTTTATGCGTTTTTATTCATATCTCGAGTTCTATAAAAGCTATTAACATGCGGTTTGCACCATTTTGTTAGGAATTTAATCCAGTTCCATTATAATTTACAATAAATAGGTGTTTCCATAAAAAATTTTGAAGAAAAACAAATTTTAATTTTTTCTATTCGAAAGTACCCTCTACCTACGACAATTAAAACTAAATGCAATTATTTTTAGTAGATGTAAATTAACTCATCCATACTCTTTCTAATGACACTAATTTTGTCAAAATCGGTTGATCCAAACCGAAGTTATAGGTATTTATTCACAAATACTTTCCCACTCTCCCCCACCCTTTATTTGAAAAAATAAAAAAAAGAACTTGAACAACTTTGCGCAGAATTTATGTCTCTTTCTAGTTTACTTATTTAACACTTGGTATAATTGGACATATTTCCCAAAAAACTGGTTTTCAAAATTTTCTTCGCAGGTTACGCCCTCTAGCGGTTAATCCAGAATCTTGAAAGTTATTTCCAGCGATTTCTCTTGGCCACTTTTACTAAGGAATTTTTTCTCCTAAAGTTATAACATGAATAGTTTCTGATATATAGCCGAGAGATCGGCTTATTGGACCACCCGGTACAATCTGAAAATCTTTATGGTAATGCACGACTTTATTGACGGTTCGCGATATCAAGAGAAAAAAATGATAGAAAGAGCAGAAAAACATTAATGAAGGTCAAATCTAACAAAAATGAAAGTTATAGCTTCTAGCTGGATAAGTATATAATAAGTTAAAGAATATAGACTCTCGACGAATTGTAACTCCATTGATTATGATGACGAATTACAAGAAATGGAGGAAAGTTTTTAAGTAAATTACGTTTTTGATACACAAAATAAATATATTAGTGACAGTACAAGGTTGTAGTTAACGAATATTAATTGAATTAACTTAGTATGATAATTATTGTCTACAATGCTCTCGGTATTAAAATTTGAAATACACCAATGTCGTTTTCATGGACATCTCGAAGCACATAATGATACAGATCTTTTCTTTTCTTAATAAGATATGAACAATATATCGTGCGCAAATCCCAAAAACAGATTGTCGTCTAGCGAATGGGGGAATGTTGATAAAATTATTTTCCCGAGTGTAAATCAGACGAATGTCTTCTATGGAATGTTGTCTTTACCACAAATGTAATAATGATTTAAAAATTATTGTTACTGTGTATACCTTAATCTTATTGAATTGCTTAAATTGAGTACATTGGTATATAGCTCTTTTAAAACAGTTAAATATTACTAAAATATATTATTTATTCATTATTTAATAGAAAATAATACTTGGATTACATTAAAAATGCACTAGAATGACAAAAAAGCAGAAGAAGTAATGATAAAGAGTACAAAGAAGTGAAATAGATATAGCAACAGGTTGTTGAGGTGAAGGAAAGAGGTTTGTTTACTAAACAAATGAAAAATGAACCATAATCCAGCAGAAGGAAGGACGAAAATTGAGTTATAACAGAAGGGTAATAGAAAATAGAAATGGCATATTTAAGGTTGATCTGCAGCACCCAAAAGACAAACTACACATTCAAACAATTTGAAAAAATTGGAGAAGGTATATGTGATCACTAGAAGTACTTTGACAAATTTTGAGCAAACTTCATGGTTTCGTTTTCGAAAAAACTCAAAAATTCTTCTTTTTTCCAAGTATAAAGCGGGGAAACTAAACAGACAGTGTTATTAATTTTCTTCGAGCATAAAGATATAATCCTATGAAATACTTATGATTTTTTTGAAAATTTTTGAATGTACAGTTTTGTCCCAATAGGAAAAAATAGTATGTTCAGACTTATAATAAAGCTACCGTTCAGAAACCAGACAAAATTTTAATAATAGCATATTTATATAGAACTGTAAAAGTGGGAGCTACAATATTTTATCGAAAGGGCTGTGCGATGATAATGGAAATCTACAACTAGACCCCGACAATATAGTTAGAATCTGGGAAACTTATGTGAAACAACTGTTCAATGATGACCGTCCTTAGTGGGTATACACTGAGGACGGCCCTTCTATTCTAAAATCAGACGTGGAGAATGCTATAAAGGGTCTTAAAAATAACAAAAGACCAGGCAACGATAACGTATACGGGGAAGTATTGAAAATGCTGTGCGAAACAAACAGTCAATTTCTAGACTCACTCGTCAGACTCTTTAACAATATTTATAAAAGCGGGAAGTTTCCTGAAGACTGGCTAAAGTCAACTTTTGTTGTCATACCAAAAAAACCAAAAGCAAAGTCTTGTGATCAACATCGGATGATAATTCTAATTAACCACATTTCGAAGGCATAGACCAAAGTTATTTACAACAGAATAAGCAAAAAATGCGAGGATAACATTGGAGATTCGCAGTTTGGGTTTCGGAATTCTCTTGGGACAAGAGAAGCACTTTTTAGTCTACAGGTACTCATCCAGCGCTGCAGAGATATGAACAAAGACGTGTACATATGCTTTATAGACTACGCAAAAGCATTCGATAACGTAAAGCACGAAAAGATAATTGAAGTTCTCCATAAGATCGGAGTCGACTACAGAGACATTCGAACAATAGCGAGTCTCTATTGGGGTCAAACAGCTAAAGTGAAAGTAGGATCTACATTGACCATTAAAATTGAGATCAAGAAAGGGGTACGACAGGGCTGTATCTTGTCTCCTATTCTCTTTAATATATACTCAAAAGAAGAAGTATTTAAGACAGCGCTGGAGGAAAGCACAGAAGGCATAAAGATAAATGGAGAAATAATTAATAACATAAGGTATGCTGATGACACTATGATTTTAGCAATTAGCATGGAGGAACTGAGTTGCCTAATGAGTAAGATACAAAAAACAAGTACACAATACGGACTCAGTAAATATCACAAAAACCAAATGGATGTTAGTAAGCAAACCCAACAACTGATATTAAACAATGAAAGAATTGAACACGTGGATTCACATATCTACTTGGGAACAACAGTTAACTCAAATTGGGATCAAGCAAAGGAAATACGTATAAGAGTAGAAAAGGCAAGAGCATCGTTCACTAGCATGAAGCAAATTTTCACCTCTAAAAGCCTCACCCTACCTCTCAAAATGCGACTTCTAAAATGTAATGTATTCCCGGTTTTGTTATATGGAATGGAGGCAAGGATAATGACCGCAACATTGATGAAAAAAGTAGAGGCATTCGAAATGTGGGCTTACCGACGTATATTACGTATATCCTGGACTGAGCACGTGACCAACAAAGAGGTAATACGCCGGATAGATAAAGAGAGAGAGGTAGGAATAACTATAAAGAAAAGAAAGTTGGAATACTTGGGTCACATTATGAGACATAATAATTATAGAGTACTACAGCTGATCGTTCAAGGGAAAATAGACAGCAGAAGGGGTCCAGGGAGGAGAAGACACTCGTGGCTCCAAAACTTGCGGCAATGGTTCGGATTGTCATCTGCTGAACTATTCAGATCTGCCGTAAACAAAGTCAGAATAGAAATGTTGATTGGCAACGTTCGGAACGGACAAGGCACATGAAGATGAAGAAGAAAAAGTGGGATATATTTGCAATGAAAGGTTGAATATTTTTTCCTAAACATATGAAAAATCTCGTCTAAAAATAATACGGTCAATAAAGGTCAAAAATAATACTAGAAGTAGAAAAATACGAAAAAGCAAACAAACCATTAGAATTACATAGAATATATTTTATGCAACAAGTTTTCGGTTAATAAATGGTTAAAACTGACAGATTCAGTATTAAGTAATATATTGAAATGGAAAAATATAACTACTACAATACAATATGTATACTTGAGATTGTATAATACTTAATCGGCCAAATAAAAAGTTCCAATGGTATCTAATAGCTTCGAAGTGGGTAGTTCTAGAGGCTTATATCGAGAGAACCGATGGATGACAGTACGAGTCTCGAATCTCGATGATGATCCTTCATCGACCGAAAGACGTTAAGACACATAAAAGAAACATAAAGTTAAGACAGAGACAATTTTGTTCAAAATATTCTTCTGCTACTAAAAGTCAACAGAAGATTAAGAGGTATATTTCTTCTATATCTCTTCTAGAGATATAGAAGAAATTTAAAGTAAAATATAGAAGAAATAAATAAATCCAATAAAAAATGTTTCTTTCTCTGTGCGAAGCACTTTTCCATATTTGTTGTTACTAACAAAAACAAAACTTACTACGGTTATATACCAATCTACACTATCCACAGGAACTTTAAATACAATCGTATACTGATAAGTTTTGTATTATTTAGATTAATCTGTGACTAAAAACAACAAAAATGTGAAGACACCATAATTATTAAAATAAATTTATGCTAATTTTGAATTTAGAACAATAGTATACATATACACAACAGTCTTTTTTATAGAAACTGGCCGAAACTTTGGCTTCTAGATAAATTATATAAAATTGTCCAAAATATACTACACACTAAAATTTCCATTTTTCTCAACAATATAAATAAAGTGTCGGGTTCTTAAAGTCCCTTCAGAACTAATAATAAATTTATCACATTACAGTTGTAGTATCGCGTATGTTCATTCGCCACGACATTCTGCTAAGGGTTCCATTTTGATCGTCGCCATTGTGTCTTTAGGGTGCGGTGTGGAAGTATGCATTGGCTTGACCAAATCGTCAATGTCTTCTTGGAAGAGATTCTCTGGACGAGGTGATGTGAATGATCTGGCGGGCTTATAGGTCATTCCTGATACACCTGCAATATTACAATACGATGATATATACAAAGTAATGATATATATGCTCGTATGAACTTTACACACTGCTTAACATTATAAAAAAAGAAAAATAATTATGATACATTATAGCCAATCCATTGCTTCAGGAGTTTGTGAATTTATTTTAAACTACTTTCGAATCGTGTGGCTGCACATTCTTGGGTGATGGGGTGGCGTGTCTATTTAGCAACATTGCGCCTATCGTCCCAGCGCCCATTGCGTGTATATATTCATTGCGCCATTGGTTAAGTGATTTATTGCATACTCCATGACCTTAGACAGATTCGGTTTAGATTATACCCTTCTCGGCTCGAAAAAGAGAAACCGTAGGTTTGACTGTGGGATGTTCTATTATGTGTATGTTGTTAGCTTCTCCTTTCCATTTGCAGATTGCAGACGAACTACTCCACAGCATTGATGCTGCCAGGCGTGAAAAATGGACACAGACAGTAGAAAACCTAGACTTCCAGAAGTCAAGTCGACAAGGTTGGTCCCTACTACGGTAACTCGGAAGTAGCAACCCACCCGTTCGCCAAACCAACCTAGTAACTCCAGACCAAATAGCTACGCACATATGTCAACCTCTAGGGCACCTCAAAATCGTTTACATACAATTAAAGTTAAAAAAGACCTCAAAACCATAAAATCTAGTCTTGCGCACTCAACAGAATATTCCAACCCATTTACGCATGAAGAAATATCGCAAGCCCTAAATGAAATGAAAACAGGAAAAGCGCCGGGTTTCGACGCCATTCACGCTGAGTTCCTCAAACATAGCGGTAGATTCACTAGGCAATGGCTCGCAGAATTCTTTTCTGATATCCTTCAAACGAGAAACGTCCCCCACCAACTCAAAAATGCAAAAATCGTCGCCATTTTGAAACCAGGGAAAAGTAATAATTCACCGATAAACTACCGCTCCATCGCACTCTTAAGTATGGTGTACAAATTGTTCGAAAGACTATTGTATAATAGAATCAGCAACTTTCTTTAAAAGCAATAGCAAGCTTTCTTTAAACTTTTTGCTAAAAGCAATTAAAAACAACCGCTGTCTTCATCGATCTATCTGCTGCTTACGACACTGTGTGGCGACAAGGGGAAATATATAAATTAATGCGAATAATCCCATGCAGAAAGACCATTGAGGTTATTAACGCCATGCTATCCAACAGATGCTTTAAAGTTATATTGGGAGACAAGACTAGTACCCAAAGAAAAATGAATAATGGACTTCCACAAGGATCCGTGCTAGCTTCCATGCTTTTTAGCCTTTACATAGCAGACATGCCAGAAACCACATCAAAAAAGTTTGGATACGCAGACGACTGGACGCTTGCCGGAAGTCATAAAGATTTCGAGGTCACTGAACGCATTCTAACAAACGATTTAAATGCCCTAGGGAATTATTTCCGCAAATGGAGATTGCAACCCAATCCAACTAAGACAGAAGTGTCCTCCTTCCATTTGTACAACAAGATGGCCAACTATCAACCTAAAATCCATTTTGGGGATAGACTCCTTAACTATAATTAACACCCAAAATACTTAGGTGTTACACTTGACAGAACACTAAACTTTAAAGAGCATCTTACTAAGACTGCTGCAGAACTCCGAACTCGTAACAACATCCTGCAAAAGCTCTGTGGCACTACATGGGGCTCCTCAGCACCCACACTTAGATCGACAGCATTAGGACTGGTATACCCCGTAGCGGAATACTGTGCACTAGTATGGATAAACAGTCCACATACTCACCGTGTTGATGTCCAACTCAACCAAGCCATGCGAACTATATCAGGCACAATTAAGGCCACGCCCACTTACTGGCTACCAGCTTTGAGTCATATAGCTTCACCACCCATCCGCCGGGAACATGCCCTTGTCAGAGAATTTACAAAAATCAATACTGATCCTGAGCTCCGCTCCCATGTCGGATCTTCCGCCAGAGACATAAATAGGCTCCGTTCAAGTCACCCGCCTCTAAAAACAGCAAAAAGGCTAGAAGATCAAAACTTTAATGTAATTGAACGGTGGAGAGAACAATGGAAGAATAACGCTGCACCAGCTAACTGGAACATGCCATGTATTACAAGCAAACCTGAGGGCTTCAACCAATCGAGACGAATTTGGACCACACTCTATAGAATAAGGACGAACTGTGGAAGATGTTCCGACTCACTTTTTAGATGGGGAAAAATACAATCACCAAATTGCGACTGCGGCGCCGAAAGGCAAACAGTAAAACACATGGTAGAGGAATGCCCGATTAGATCCTATAACGGCAACCCTTCGGATTTCTGGCTGCTACAAAAGAGTCAATCGAATATATTTATAATCTAGATGTTTGTTTGTAGAATAATATTTTTGTATTTACTGTTGTTTGTAATTTATATAATTTATATATATGTATATATTCCATTTGCTTTTATCATTCTCATCGATTGTGAAATTGTTTGGTAGATTCTTAGTTATTCTTGTTGGTAGCCATAATTGGCTTGATGGATGGTATCTATTGGCAATAAATACCGATGGATTCTTTTGACATTTCTGATATTAAGTTTTAAGGACAGCTAACCGTCATGTTTTAGGTCGGCTATGTTGCTTAAAACCAGATTTGGCGAGCTCTTTATGGTCTCCGTAATATATCTCATGCTCTGATTTAATTGTGCATCTACAATGTTAGTGTGGTGACTGTTCAGCCAGACTGTAATTAAGCTAATTTCGATATTTGTTACACCTTGCAAAAATTGTGGTAAACTGCCTGTGATTACGTTAATAGATAACCTAAAATCACAATGGCATTATAAAGCCCTTAATAATCGTACTTGTCAATATGAAATTTGCTTTTCATATTGTTTATCTTAGTTTGAAAAATTTTCCCTTGTTATCTTTCTGAAATATCTCGGTTTTGTTTTTAAATTTGACCTTTCGTTATTATTTCCCACGTAGCATATCTTTACCTAACCTAACCTAACCTATTCTAACTCTACTCCATTATTCGTATATAATTGCATTGTCCAAAGTTATCGTCTCTTTGAAGTAGTAACTCTATCTTCCAAAGAGTCTAAATATTTGGTTTTGTCCCACCAAACTTTTTTGTGTCTTTTTGAAGTCATTATACTTCTTCTTCTTCTCGTGCCACTCCTAGCGGAGATTGGAAATCATCATGGCCACTGCGACTTTGTTAGCAGCGCGCCTAAAAAGTTCAATCGAACTACACCCGAACCATTCACGTAGATTACGAAGCCACGATATTTTCTTCATTATACTTAGAAATGTCTTATTATCTGACATCCATATTGAAAAACCAAACAAATGTAGAATAAATTGATATTTTTACAATATTTGACTTGTATTTGTCCAATAACTTTGCCTTCAGGAAACTGAATGTTGGGTGACTTTAGTAGATTATCTAACTCCAATTTCGTCTGCTCTCAAGTGAACATACCTACTTATATTTTTTATACGGATTTTTAAAACATGTTTCTTCTGTTTCTTCTTCCTTCTTGTAGGCTTTAAAGCCTGTTTCTCCTTCAATATTAGCCTCCTAAATTATTTAAATTATAGCACCATCTTTTTCTTGGTCTGTCAATACTTCTTCGTCCATTTGGTGACTTATCTCGTGCTATTCGTACTATTCTATCGTCTGCCATTCTACTAATGATAGATTCCGTTTTGTCGCCCATCAATTTATGTCTTCTATAGTGCATGCTCTTCTTATAAAACATGTTTCATGTACATTATTAAAAAATAAATATTTTCCATTTTTATTGATTTTGAAATTAAATAAACGATTTTTTTAATTTACCTATTCCAACGTCCATACTGTTTCCTATATTCATATTAATCGAGGGTTCCATCGAGCTGGACACAGTCAAGCCCAACGGCGAAGAAATCGGACTTTCCATGGCTGATTCTGCTGGACTTATCCTCAAATCTTGAATACTACCTGCTGGGCTGCCCATATTTCTCATTGATGCTAAGTGACTCAAACTCTGTAAAATTTAACAAAATTAGATCTCATAACAATCAAAATCCATCAAATAAACTTACCATCGGAGGGGCTCCATTGCTTGGAGGCATTGACATATTGCCGCAATGTCCTGCTAATGCTAAAGAGTTTACCAAACTAGCTACAGGATTGGTGTCGTGTGCTGTACTTTGGTTGTGTGCCGCAGCTACCATGCTGCACATTTGCTGTCTAAGACCTTGGGCTACAGCTGCTACGGCAGCAGCCGCTGCTGCTCCGGGGGATACGTTCGGGTCGGAGCCATTGCTGCAGGAATTCTGGTTTTGATAATTTGAAATAGTTACGCCGTCCTGAAATACCATAAAAATATATGTTATTAAGTAATACACAGATGTCAGATATAAATATTAAAGTAACATATTGTATAATAGGAGCAGATCCAATGGAAAAAAAAATAATAAAAAACCTAGATATGTAATACTAGACATTCCAATAAAACGTATGAAAATGACATAAGAAGGATCCACAGCAGCAATGATAACAGGAAATGGTTTTAAAAAGATAATAAAAGCAACTAAGTACAAGGAGATTCACTATCACCGTATTATTGAATATCACGATAGAAAGCCAGATCGAAGTCTCAGCTTGTGGGGCTATACCGATGATATTCCACAGATTACCATGCAAGAGAGAGTTACCAATAAACCAAAATACAACAAAGTTCCCTACCAAACATACTCCAGCAAAAATAAAGCTAATACAGCTACAGTAAAGAAAAAAAGGATGTTTTCGAATATTTACAACACCTCAAGTACCTCTTAAGGGATTAAAGTAAATGTAAGTAATGACAGCAGCATATAAATTAGTGAACATATTCTGGCAGAAAATAGAGCGTACTGGAAATACCACTGATTCGAAGATCAGCTACTTACTAGAAGATAATTAAAAATTTAAAGAGCAGTAACTAGACTAGTCATTACATAGAACTAAAATAATGTGCTCGACACCAAAAGACCAGGAAAATCTGAGAAAAATAATAACTGAAGAACAGGAACACCTAGAAAGGAGAGATCAAAAAGCAGTTGTCCAGAAAATCACCAAATTAAGACCAGCGACCGGTAGACCACGAGTAAGTACCAAAATAAGATTGGAAGGACCAGATAATCGAAGATATTGGAAAGCTTGGACTTTAAGGCTGGAGTACTATATTCAAAGATAGAAAAAAAAATAGAAAAATATTTTAGAAGACACCAACTCACACAACGAATTACATCAACAAAGAAGATTTATGGGGACTGATTTCCCGAGGCAAATGAATCGGAAGAACATGAAGAGGATGACAATCTCTCCGCTAGGAATGAAGAGGTTATGATAATGATATACATGACTGTATAATTAACAGTCACACTCCTTTCTACTTTTGGTTATGATTCTTCTTAGCCTCTCTACTGATATTAATTATCTTAATTAGTGCCAAAAACAGTGTATGCATACGAAATCATCATCATCATCTTCATATGCAAAATGTATAAATACACAAATATTTATAAAAGGTTCATTAAAGTGTAAAGAAATTAAAATTCCTAACATTGACAAGAAATTTAAATGAAAACCTTATCAATAAATCTCAGGATTCTAAGATGTTGAATTTGTCCCTTCATATGTACATATAAAACGTTATAGGATTTGCTGCTGCGAATCAGCTGAATCACAAGAAAAATTAATGAATATTAAAAATAAGAATCTAGAAGAAGAAATGCTGAGAATATTGAAAGAACATACACAGATACACTTCATCTAATTTATATAACGATGCACGTCATCGGCGTCATAGCCTGTGGCGTCACATGATACCAACACAAAATATTTAGGGTGTAGGTGTGTTCTTTTTTAGAACCATTTTACCGAGTACACTGACATTACAGCCACTAGACATATTTTATTATATACGCGTAGAAATCATATTTAAAAATTTCTATTAATGTTAACTTGAAGAAATGCACTATAATATGTTTCATTTAATTTGTATAAATGCATTATAAAGCTTTTTTATCAAGAACATTTGTTCGGAACACACTGTAACTGTAATCGAACGAAGGTAAAATTTTGGCATAAATTGGTAACACTTATTTGACAGTTGCGGTGTTGACACTTTTTGTACTTCATTATTTTGAATTTAAAGTGAATATCTCTTGTTTTATATTTTTAACTATCTAATAAAATCTGTTCTTTTTAGAACAAAATTAGTGTGTTTTATTTCAAAAATGTCACGTAAGAATTTAAATAGTCGTTGTAAAGAGATGGTAATACTTTTGCAATAATTATGTAATCTATTTGATTTAAAATGGAGTCAGGATTTTTTTATACTTTGGCAACTATGTCAACTTCGATCTCTGACGTAGATAATGACGTAAGTCGTTATCTAAATTAGATGAAGTATATGTAATAAAGAGGTAATACAGAGACTATTAAAAACATATATAAATATAAAATATATAAAAAATAAAAATATTTTGTAAAAAATACACACCATTTTTTAAATAATTTATCGAATATTGAATTTATTTAAAATAATATTTTAGTAAGTTTTGACATAAATAGTTATATTTACATTACAAATATGCCAATAAGTTAAATTACAAATATGCCATAAGATAAGACTTTGAATATAATCAAGACAAAATTAGAGAGTGATGATACATTCTCAACTAGAACAAGACTAAATATATCAGCTATAATGGATGTATTAACATTATGTACTGATAATATCTATTTTCAACTAAATAATGAATTCTATAAACAAAATTTTGGTCTAGCAATGGGTTCTAGTTTATCCCCATTATTAGCCGATATATTTTTGGAAAATTCTGAAACAATAGTACATTGTTTACCGGGTAGGAAAAGCTTAACATTCCTGGACGACTGTGAAGATTGCTAAGTCGAGGCGCAAGCCGAGACTTAGCAACACAGAGTCCAGGAATGTGGCTTTTCCTACGAGGTAAACATACTATTTTTCCGCAAATCGTTTAAAATTCGACAGATATTGATTGATTTAAAAAAACGCGATAATTTTATTCCCAAATAAATGGTGCTTTGAAATTCCTAATAAAATTACTTGGGTTACTATGGAAACGTATTGAGGTTGAATTGTCAAACTTGACGCTTATAAATTTAATTTATGTAGAACGCTAACAACTGTACGGAAATATCATTTCCTTACAGTAAGGAAATGACATTTCCTTACAGTAAGGAAGTCCTGACCTTTTCTTCAAGAAATTTTGACAGGAATGTCAAGATTTCCTGGCGATTTGCGGAAAATATTATTTCTAAACAAAATTTAAAAACCACAGTACGGTGGAGATATGTAGATGATGTATTTTCAATATGGCCTCATGTATCAGAGTTGCTGGACACAATCCTGAATGATATTAATAATAAAGAAGAGACAATAGCATTTACCATGGAAAAGGAATATAATAAAACACACTACCTATCCTGGATATTTTAATCTCTAAGAATGATACTGGATATGAGACTCAAGTGTATAGAAAACCAACAGATATCTAAATTATAAATCAAATCACAGTATCAATATTAAAAAGGGGATCATTAAATTCTAATATGATAGAGCCAAAATTACTTTTTCTAACGAAAATTCTTTCTTAGAGAAAAAACGTTTGTTAATATCTGTTTTATTAAAAAATGATTATTCTTTATAGCTTATTAATAAGGAATTTTCAACAATTGACCGAATAGAACAGACCAACTAAGAACGAGATCCTACAGCATACACAAGGCTAACATATTCGAGAAGCTACATCATTTATGTTCCTGATATAAAATTAGAATTTGGTGTTTATTGAGAGTGAACTAAATGAAAGACCAAATACTTACCATAACGAGATAGTATTATGAGATTTTTTCCTGGTTTTTTCCTCATGATTTACTATGGAATACACCAGATGAAGGAGGAGACATGAAATAGTTAAGGGCGAGATTACTGGGATAATTTTTCTAGTACGTCCACATAAACTTTTTCTATAATAGTGCTTTCTATTGGCACCAAATTGGCAGAACTACCTGCTATAATGCAGCCCCAAAAGAACATTATACTTCCGACGTTGCCTTATATGCAAATTCGTAATAGGCTTGTATTTGTATATATATATATGTATATATATATATATATATATATATATATATATATATATATATATTCGGTTGTATAACGTCTTACGACGTTTGTCCGACTCCCAAACGCCACTGTATTCTGTCTTGAGTTAGGTCTTCGTCCAGATTTCGAGCGCTAATCGCTTTCCTAACTCCCAGGTTCCAGCTCTGTGATGGTCTTCCTCGTTTCCTCTTCTCTGGGGGTTGCCACATCATCGTTTTTTTAGGCAATCTTTCGTCCCCCATTCGGCTCACATGCCCATACCATATGAGCTGTTTTCTCTCAATATCCTCAACTATAGTGCCCTCTATACCCATTTGTTGTTTTATCACTTCATTCCGTATTCTGTCGGCTCTTGATATTCTCATCGATCTTCTGATGGCATCCATTTCCGTGGCTTCGACCTTTTTCTTATATTTCTCGGTTATTCTCCATGTCTCAGCTCCATATTGTAGGCTAGTTTTAACCATTGTCTCATAGATGTTCCATTTTCTTTTCTTTGATATTTCTTTACTCCATAGAACTCCGTTAAAACAGGCTATAGCTCTTCGTGCTTGTACAATTCGATGTTCTATTTCTCGTTCGTCTTTTCCACTACGGTCGAAGATGACGCCCAGGTATTTATATTCGTCACATGGATTTATTTTTTGATTGTCATCGATATCGAGTTGTTCTGCTTCAGCTCCAATTGAGAGGTATTTTGACTTTTTTAAATTGATATTTAATCCCCATTTCTGGTATTTGTACCGATGTATAAAATGAGGTGTTGTTTAGTACCAGATTTATTAGCAAAGCAACACCATCAACTTCTTGTTGTAGTCAGTCGTGAATTAGCAGCTCGTGTGAGAAACAGAAAACGAGATATTTGAACTGAAATAATCTTATTCCGTCTGTCTGTATAAGTAACTTCTACTTATTGTGCATCTTGTTAAATTCAGTAATCCAAAAATTTGTAATTGATTATTGCCTAGACAATGGCGATGCCACATTGCACATAAATTTTTAAATATTACTTGTCTTTAGATCGAAACTAAATACAATAATTGTATTGTAATCTGTATATAACGAATCCTTTCGCAACCTAACCTCAAATGTCATTAACCGCTCATCAGATGAAAATAGTCTTGTCATGCGCATTCAAGACTTCTTGTCCACAAGGTGCCTATTTGTTCTGGTTGTTAGCTATTGTCATAGCAATTGACATTTTATTGACTGTATGGACATGAAAGGACTCAAATTTTGAATTCAGGAAATTGATCTTTTTCCTGGCCGTAGACTTTAAAGATAAACATGACATGACCAGAAATTTTACCTTGCGTGTTTTAATTGCATTCAAAATTCCGTACTCTGTCCAGTCTTCTAAGGACATCCATATTAGTGAGGTGAATAAAGCAAAAGTTCCTCAGAATTCCCCTCTTGTTTCAAATGCCATTCAAGTCAATCAAGATTTTTACCTTCAAATTAGGATATTTAAAAGTGAAGTAAGATAAAATACCTAAAAAAGTAGTAGAAAATACAACAAATACTTACATGTAATCTAGGATATGTAGTCATATGGGGTTCTTCCTTAATTTGATGTGAGTCTCTAAAAACAACTGCTCTGATTACACCTCGTATATGTTCATCAGGCCAAACTCCTAACAAAATTCTCTGAGGTCGTCCTCTTCCTTTTGGTCTTAAATCTAAAAAGCGATTTATAAAAATTAGCAATACATATATTTGGAGTATACTCCAATACTCCAATGAATACTCCAATTCACAAAAAAGGTCCAAAAGATATTTGCGAAAACTACAGATGTATGTCACCAGTACCTTTAGCAGGCTGTTTGGTAAAATCTTAAAAAACATGATTGAGAAAGAATACGAACCTCATGAAATTGAACAGCAAGCAGGATTTAGAGCTGGAAGATCTTGCGTAGACCACATATTTTCCCTAACACAACTGAATGAAAAGAAAGTTGCAAGAAACCAGGAAATACATCTTTTATTTGTGGATCTCACAAAAACATATGACACGGTTCCTGTGAGAAAGCTGTGGCAGTCTCCTGAACGATCTCCATTAAATAGCACGATCATCGCCGCAGTCAAACAATTATACAATAAAGCATCAACAAAAATCAAACTAAACAACACCTTATCAGAAGAATTTCCAGTAACAAAAGGCTTACGACAAGGATGCTGCCTCTCTCCAATACTATTTAAGATCTATTTAAATGAAGCACTAAAACACTGGAGAAGATCCTGTTCAGGAATGGGGATCCAACTTGACGACGATACAACATTATACACTCTACATTTTGCGGACGACCAAGTAGTAGTGGCAGCAGACAAGGAAGATTTAGAATTCATGACGAGACGGTTGTTTAAAACATATGAAGAATAGGACCTCTCTGTAAATAGAAACAAAACGCAATACTTATGCATTGGGAATGAAGTAGAAGATCTAATGGTCAACGAACATGAAACAATCAAGAACTGTGAGAAATATATATATTTAGGAACAAAAGAGATAGAGCAAAGAATCGTGAAAGGAAAAAGGGTGATAGGATGCCTAAAACCGATGCTATGGTCAAAAGAACTATCAAATCAAAGAAAGCATCTCCTCTTTAACTCCATCTTTAAAAGTATAGTGCTCTATGGATGCGAAACATGGCAACTTACTAAATCCCTTGAGCGACGTCTACTTGCATTGGAAATGGACTTCTGGAGAAGATCAGCTAGAAAATCAAGGCTTGATAGAATACAAAATGACCATATCAGAAATATAATGGGAGTCAAGTCAACTATCATTGATGAAATTCAAAGGAGACAAGGAGATCTGGTATGGTCATGTGAAAAGAATGGACGACGACAGGCTGCCAAACCAAATCTTAAAATGGACGCCAAGGGAAAGAAGGAAGAGAGGAAGGCCAAAACAATCCTGGCTGGGCGGCATTCAGAAGGCAATGTCGGAAAGAAACCTTCACCCTGGCGAATGGAATGACTGACGTAGCTGGAAACTGGGAACTGGAAGGCGGAGAACGCTATAAAAAAACCGGGATAATAAAAATAGCAATACATATATCGCAATTATTAAAAAGTTTATTGATAGTGAAATACTTCAATTTGTGCAAAATTTAAGATTACCATCCCAAACCAGAAGATATCTTTTGAGGATTTTTGGAGAGAGGTAAACAAAAGATCCAAAATAGAAATATAGCAACATTGGTCGAAAACACGAAGCAATATAAAATATATACTATATGTAGTAAATAGGTACAGTCTGTTATGTTGCGTTACAACATTAGTGACATGTCAAATAGAAGAAGAAGCCCGGGAGTAAAAGAGAAGGACATACATTGACAGTCGACAGACTGGTCTTATGGCTCTTTAGAGATAATTATGTATTAGTATTAGATTGTTTTGTAATAAATAAAATATACAGAAATAAGTCGTCTATTATAACAAAAAGCCCACAGAGTAGAAAAAACACAGTCGATAGCAAATAGATATTATACCAAACATACCGATTTGATAAACTGAAATTGATAACATCTCATATGATTATAAAAGGAGAGTAAAATTTTACCTGATCCACCATCTGCAGAGGGTCCTAACATATTGTGAACACGGTTTGCATAGAGGACGAACGTCGGGTAGGGGATATCGTATTTTCTCGCAGCCTGTGATAGAGACAGTCCTTCTTTAAGTACTGAAAATATTGCCTCTGCCATAGTTTCGGGTCTCCATGATTTCAATGGTCCTCGTTCACGGAAGCGCAAGTTGTGTACAAGACTTTGATTCGTATTCCAACACTTTTGCCACATCGACTGCAACTGGTATTGGTAACTGTCTGCTAGAAAAAAGGAACAAAAATAATAATATTAGTGATGTTGTCGATAAAACGGTGTAAGATAGAAAAAATATAGTTATAATAATTTTTCTTAGATAATGCAGACCAATTTAGGATATACAGCAGTGTATTCTTGGGACTTAGCAATAAAATAAAGGTAATCAAAAAAACACAAGTTCAAAGCGTTTATTGTTACCTCTAGTTTTTGCAAGATATTCATTTTATACAGACTTCTTGGTATAGCTTTTGTACTTTATTTAAATATCTCGTTTTTTTTGCCCAGATATTGTCATAGAGCCAAATACAACAGGAATAAGGCTCCAACCATCACTATAATTGACATAAATCCTCTAACACTTCTTGCCTAGAGACCTATTAAGGGGGTATGTTCACGCCGCAGTTAAAATGAGTGACATTCAAATAAACTAACGTTTAACAATTCTTTGTGTAGATGGCAGCACGTGTATCATACTCTAATATTTTAATTTTCCCGAAATTTAAGTCTCTGAACAGCGACATAGTTGCCAGCGAGGCCAAGTACTGGGACCTGGGAACTATTATATACGATGTGTATACGATCGGTATAGTTCGCTCTTAATCGGCGGTCTTATTCATTGTAATTTGATATTAGCTATTAGTAGTAGAAGTTTCAGAAATTTTTATTTTCGGATTGGATTATTCGATATAATTTTTTAATTTTGTATTGTGTTGTGTTATTATTTATTTACCTTTGAGGTTGCTGTTTTGATTATGAGTGTTGTTTTTTTAGTTTTATAAACATTTTAAATAGTTTATACCACTATTGTTTCCTAATATTGAAGAAAATAGATAGGTAAGTACTTATTGCTATAGCTCTTGTGTAAGAAGTTCATTTGACGATGGTGGCCATGGCCACATATACTTAAGTATTAGTTAAATAACGATGATTTTGTTTTGTGCTTGTATTTGTAATGGTATGCCAAAGGTTATCTATTAAATATTTTTCAGGTGTGAATAAAATGCCCAGATTAAAGTCCTTTCATAAAAGATCTACCAAGCGTAGTCGCACATTTATTAAATTTCAGAAAAAAAAAGAAATTTCCGTAGTAGCTTGTGGTTCTACAAGTGACAAAGAGAAGTGAGTACCTATCTTTATATTTTATTTACACTGCTTAAAAAAATGGTCATCATGTGAAAAAGTATTGTCAGTATCATGTAAATTTTGTCTTTTGTTATAAGTAATCTGCATAAAAAGAATGCAAATTCAGGAACTGATTTTAGATCAATTTAGTGAATATAACCTTATCCATTTCGTATCTATAACAAACATAGAACGAGTACAAAGATTCCAGTATCTTGGTTGCTGGATAACAAACGATCTTGACCACGAGGTCAAAATACGTGCTCGTATAGATATGCTAGGTCCGCATTTCAATGGATGAAAAAATTCCTAATAAATTCTATGTTATCGTTGGATATCCGATACCAATTTGTAAAAACGTTTATTTATTCCATATTGCTATACGGAGTGGAAACATGGACTGTCGGAATTACAAGTATGAAGCATATAGAAGCCTTTGAGATGTGGGTTTTTCGAAGGATGCTGAAGATTCGAGGTACTAAGAAGAATGGGTACTGAGAGAGAACTCCTAAAGATTGTAAAAAACAGAAAAACGAGTTATCTAGGACATATTTACAGAGGTCCAGGAAGAAGAAAATGCTCCTGGTTGAAGAATGTAAGAGACTGGACAGGCATGGACACACATTGGATCCTAAGAACAGCTCTAGGTAGAGAGCAATTTGCTGTAGTTATAGCCAACCTTCAGTAATGGAGAAGGCACCTTAAGAAGAACCTTATCCAAAATCCTCCAGTCATGTATGTGTGTCATTCTGTAAGCAGTAACGAATTTGTTAAATAAAAGGATTTAAAATATCGTATTATAAAAAAAATACATAAAAAGAGGCATTTTGAATACTACAACCATACCAATTTCATTATAAAATTGTGTTAATTTTACATGGACTGGCAAGATATAAGACAACAAAACCTACTTCTGTTTGTTTTAAATTTCTAAAATCTGGAAATTAAAAAAGAACCAGTAAAACAAACATATCATAGATATGATTTAAAATACAGATAATGAGATTAACTAAAATTTTATAGAGAACTACTGAATTATTTTTTCACCCTGCGTTTACCTAATATTTCAACCGGTTTTTGTAGTACCATATCTCGTATGTTTATCCATAGAATAATGTTTATCAAAGAATAAATTGTCTTGATTAAAAATAGATAAATCTTAATAGTAACTAATATTTGAAAATTACTGTGAGCTTTATATATAAAAATATTTAAAAATCTCACAATACTTTTTGGCTCACTCGGTGCGACTCCTATCGGACATAGGATTGTTGAAAAACTTTCGAAGCTAAGTACGGTTTGTATTCTTCAGATGGCGGAGTACGTGCTTTATCATAACATTAATTTATATACTTAATACATATGTTGAAAAAACCTGTAATATACAGACAAAAAAGAGAAATTTATAGTATATCTACATTAATGTGTTTTTTTATTAATAGTTTATTAGTGGAAGAAAAAAGTAAATCCACAACTATAGATATTTAACGAAAGTGTTAAAAGTTGTCTTTTAACATTTGCATTAAAAAAAAACATCTCATAATCAAAATTATAATAGTTATAGCTGTGCAACTCATTTCGTATGACATTTTTACATTAAGGCTATAGTTTTTGAGAATAACTCACAATTATAACTAAAAATATTTTAATTTTTTAACAATCGTTATTAAGCTTTTTGAAGGCACTGACACAAATCTTTATTCATAGTAATGAGTTTTGACGATTTTTGACGCACTTTCAGGTATATTTCTATAAAATAGTTCCTCAGACATCAGCAGTATTTCGAAAATATTTTTTTATTTTGAGGATCTTAATTTTGTAGCTTGCCAATCTTCTTCTTCTTATGGTGGCTATCCGTTACAGATGTTGGACACTAACATGGCTATTCTGACTCTGTTGATTGCTGCCCTGAAAAGTTCGGTAGTGGTTAAGTTAAACCATTTTCGCACGTTCTGCAGCCAGGATATTCTTCTTCGTCCTGGACCTCTTTTCTCATGCACTTTACCTTGAAGTATGGTCCAAAGTAGGTCATATCGTTGTTCATTGCGCATTATATGGCCCAGGTATTTTAGTTTGTGACGTTTTATGGTTACGACTAGTTCGCGCTCTTTCCCCAGTCTATGTAGTACTTCTTCGTTGGTAACTCTGTCTATCCAGGAAATCCTCTGCTCCTCCTCCTCTCCTCTGCCATCCAGATTGCCAATCTAGTGCAAAGAAAATGCTCACGATCTTCACATGGAATGTTAAAACATTAAATATACGGAGCCAGTAAGACTCATAATGCAATCAAGGAGATGGATAGACTATCACTAGATATCATGGGAGTAAGTGAAATGAGATGGACGAACTCTGGGTAATGAAAAATTAACAATCATCACATATAATATTCAGGTAGCCACAACGGAAGACACGAAAATAGAGTAAAGAATAAGTACCCTTCAACTTAATACCCAGTAACAATTAACATTATCCAGGTATACGCCCCTCCAGCTGACAAACCAGATCTATAATTAATTTCCTAACACTTTGAAACACCTTCCCAAAAAGGATCTAACCTTAATTATGGGTGATTTATATGCAAGATTGGTAGGGCATAATCGGAAGAGTTCATAGAACAGTTTGGGGTTGGAGAAAGAAATGTGCGAGACGACCGATTGGGTTATTTTGTATCAGTAGAAGAGTTTGTAATTACTAACAATTACTTCAAACTTCCATACAGAAGATTATACACGTAGAAATCACCTCAAGATACTTCAGGCTACATAGTCAGAAATCAAATAGATTACATTATGATTAGTAAAAGATTCCGTAACAGCATAACATCAGTCAAGACATACCCAGGAGCCAATATCAAGTCAGACCATAACCCACTGATTTGCAAAATGAAGGTCAGGCTGAAGAAGATTCGACCTAGTGTCAACCCAAAATACGACATCAAGCTACTCAAAGACCAAAGGACATAAAAGAGTATAAAACAGTATATACATAGCAATTTGAATACTGTTACTCAAACTGATTTAATAGACCATGAGCTTGAAAAATTGCATAGTGTTTTACAAGACATACAAAGAAAAATTCCTCAAACCACCAAAGATTAAAAAAAATCATGGATAACAAATGAGATTCTAGATATGATGGAAGAGAGGCGAAAGGCCAAAGATTAAAACAAGACATTATACAAAAGAATAGACAAAGAAATAAAAAAAGCAATCAGAATGGCAAAGGACATACAGCTATTACAAATCTAGAAGAGTTGGATGTTTCGCAGACAACCAAGGTAATCCACTACTAAGTGTTAAAGAGAGACTAGACACTTGAAAGAAATATATGAAAGTAACATTTGCAGATGAAAGGCATATTGCTATTGAAGACATAGAATGCCAAACAGGACTCCCGATTACGATTGAAGAAGTCACGGCAGCTATTAGAAAAACTAAAGATGGTAAATCTGTAGGGCCTGACAAATTTTATACAGAATACAAAACCTAAGGAAGTGGTTCAATACGTTTACAACTGGACTATTCCGAATAGCTGCAAGTAAAGACATCCGAAACGGATAGACATCGTAAGAAGAAGAAGACGAATTGTGTGGCTCTTTCCACAGGTATTCTTTTATAACAGCATATATATATATATATATATATATA